TTAGCTTGCAGATTATTTGTGCCAGTGTGTGACTGCGAGTAAACTGGTTGTCAATTAACCAGGCGCCTTAATCAGGTTATATTTCGTAATGGCAGACAAGGTACACTGAACAAAGAACATTGAGAGTTTCCAGAGGAATTTTCTTATAAACGAGCATGGATCCAAAAATATGAATAGAATTTCTGAGATCCCAAGCTGAGACATATCAGAACTTGTATTATTTTAATGAACATATAAGAGCCTTAACATTGTAGGATATGGCAGAGGCTTAACCGTAAACACATTTCTAAACACTTTCAAACCACAAATGAGTGAATGATGTCAGACCGGCACCGGCCTCCTTCATAATTGGGGTGTTTGCTGATATGTAATTGCAAACACACTCAACACAGATGGAAGCCCACTGTGAATTTGACTATACTCACATCACTAGGATGAACATGTAGCTTTATCTGAACACAAATGGCCTTATGCTTGCAAGGGAGGACCGCATGTATTTTTTCCCCCCAAATATGAACACACTGAGGGTGTCCACTCTTCAATCGCTGTTCAAGGGTCCCACCTCTTATTTGGGGATTAAAGCTAAACTGAGTTTTATGTTGTCCAAATTTCAGGTTAGGGTTTTAACATAGATAGACTATTGAAGAATAAATAGGGAACTCAAAAAATAGCATCAGTATTCCTTCACTGCCACTTGATGCATTACCAACACATACCAAGGAACCTTTTGCAAGCATTAGTTGGTTTCAGGTCTGGCATGAAATCCTGTAGAGTTCAATTGTCATGCTGTTTTATTGACGAGTGGGGGCAGGATGGAGCGGGAGCTTAACAGGGAGATCGGTGAAGCGTCAGCGGACTCGGTATCGGTCTATCGAGGAGCTGAGCTGAAAAGCATAGCTGTCAATTTACCAGTTGATCTACATTCTGAGCCTCGCCTATGGTCGTGACCAAGAATTAGATCCCAGATACAATCAACCGAACTGAGTTTCTTCCACACGGTGTCCTAGCTCCCCCTTCGAGATGGGGTGAGGTACTCAGAGTCAAGGCGCTGCTCCCCCATGATGAGAGGAGCCAGATGAAGTGGCTCGGGCATCTGGTTAGGATGACCCTTGGATGCCTCCCTGGTGAGGTGTTCTGGGCGTGTCCCACCACCAGGAGACCAGACCCTGGATAAGCAGTCGCAAATGGATGGATGGATGGATGGAATTTGCATCATACCTACATTTACATCTATTTGATGTGCTATACTCAAACACTCTCAACTTAATGTATCATCTACTTGAGAGCAAAAACACAGGTTTTTTTTTTTTTTTTTTTTTTGGAAAAACAGGCTTCAAGGGGCTAATGTTTAAAGTCATCCTTGATGGACCAGGAAGAAGACCTGTAATGAACAGATGACTGATGGTTTGGTCTTGAAAGCGGATGCATTTAAATTAGTGCAATTTTCACTGACAATAGTTTCATACAAGCAGTTTTAGCTAGCTTTTCGCCCCTGGTGCTTAAAGTAGTAAAAAGGGAAACACTGAAGCCCAGTCTCCTAACTGTCAGTCATGTTCCTTTTATTTTAGAATCCTTGTGTCCATATCCCACAACTCGCTCAGTCATAACACACTGCTTTCTCTGTAGTGCCACAAAACAACAGGACCATTTTAGGACTTCATGTACAATTCATGGCTTTCAATGGGATGTTTGCAACCTTTCGTGCCAGTAGCTGACCATGATATATGGCACTTCTGAAAAGCTGCTCAATGAACGGAAATTGGTTTGGACATGAGGCACAATTCAGCCTGTTTATTCCTTCAAGAGATTTGCAGACCGACTACAGCCAGACAGCTGTCTGGAAACACTTCTGAGTTCAAAAAAAGTGTTGTTGTGGTCATTAAGCCTTTCCACTTAAAAAAAAATAATACATTGACATGAGGATAACTGAGTGCAAAAATCAGCACGAAAGAGAGCCTTTGTTTTGAAACAATAATGGCTTCTTTCTGAAGCAATGTGAGAACACCATATGGGGTCCCTTCTTCCCACTTCTATCTTACGTAAGATAGTAGATGCAAGCCCCAGGGTTTTCTTTAGAAGCCTTGAGGATGTCTACACACACTTGCACAGATTTAGGTCATGAAACAGAATAATAGTTCTTTTGCTAGATCACAGAATCTCCAATAGACTTCACCAGTAGAAATTTCCCCCCCTACAATTTTTTTACTTGCCAGCCAACTCACAGCTGTGGTCTCTCTCTCTCTCTCTCTCTCTCTCTCTCTCTCTCTCTCTCTCTCTCTCTGTGTCACACACACACACACACACACACACACACACACAGACACACACACACACACACACACACAAACTAACACACACTAACAGACTCACGTGTGCACACAAACAAAAGCAGTCTACTATAGTACAGCACAGCAAAATTCTCACTCTGAGCCCTGAGGTTTAAACTGTGAAGCTCATGGCACCACATGGTGTATGCATCAGGAAGCAACGCATTCAAGGAAACACATTATCTTATTTGTGCTTCAGTAGAAAAAAGGGAAATCAGAAATGTCATAATGAGAACAAAATGAAAATGAATTAGATAATACCGGGAGTTGAAAAAACAGGCTGAGGTCTAAGCATACTTGTTTGTTTCTGTCACTTTCTTTTTACTATTGCTAATCACTGTACTATCCATTTGTTTACTACAGTATTCCATTGCAGGGCTTAGTACCAGCGCCATTGTGTTTTATAGACATACACGATTGCTATTTTTTTTTTCCCCAAATCAACACAAAAGTGATGCAAATAGTAAGAGGGTCATTTATTTCCATTTTCATTTTGTTTGTTGATAATTTTGAGTATATCTCTTTAGTAGCTCGATAACTTCATTTTTATAATTAAATACCAATAACAAGCTTGTTAGGTTACCGTTTGAACAAATCAATGTTTGGTAGCAATACATTGGCTCCAGATCCAGGCCAAAAGAAAGCGGACCAAAGCATCAGTCTTAAAAGGTTAAAGAGCTTAATTCCTCTCTGTCCCACAGACGACTCAACCAAAGGCGTTGTTTGAAGTCAAAGGGCGAGGAATTAAACAAGCAATGACCTATTTTCGTAGCACTTCCAATTTTACCACTAAAACACAAGACAGTGTGACTTTGTTTGTTTGGCTTTTAGATTATTGAGTCGGACTACTCTTCATTGCGAGAGCTTAGAAATATTAGTATTCAAATAATATGATATGAAGGAAAATCCTCATAACAGAGCAATAAAAGGCCTGTCTGCAATATTGTCGGTGTGTGCTGAGGGATGGAGGGTCATTCAGCACTGTCAGCACAGTAGCACTTGTCCTGCATCCTATCCCAAGGTGACTTCTCTGCTGTTGGCAGGCAGAGCCTTGAAAACAGTTCATTTTCATCTCTGCCTGCTTCTCCCACTCATCAACATTTTGACCCCCCCCCCCCAGCCCAACCCATTACCTTTTTTTTCCACCTCTAAATTTTGGACAACTGCATGATTGTTTTGCAAAATGGATGAGAACAATTCAATGCATGTCCTGTCTGGAGTCAGATTTTGACATGCTTCTTTCTAAGAAAGGAGCACATGGCCTTTTTCTATTTCAGTTGTCATAGTGGCGAAACCTACGCAGCAGCAGCTCTTACACTTCCCACACAATCACACACAGGAAGATAATTTGTAGTTTGAGAATTGAGGGTGTTTGTCTATGTGCTTATCTATATAAGATGAACAAAAGACACAATTCCATATTAAAGGGAACATTTCTGGACAACTTGTGGGTGTGAGACACAAAAATGAGCAAATGAGGCCATTGTCCTGTGTCTCCACGAGGGCATCTATTTTGGTTCAGCTTAATTCTCCTCCTGGGTGTAGGTGTGCTCATTCCCTTTAACTGTCTTCCTGTCTTGGATTTCTCTCCCTTGGTTAATTGATTAAGAGGATTCCACCTGCTGTTGCAGTCCTAAGCACAAAACACAATCTTGAGTCAACGTAAACACTCAGATCAACTTATGACTGCGCGCACACTTGTTGACCAGAGATGGTGCAACAGTGTGGGCTACGCGAGCATGTGCCTTGGGCCTCGGGCCAAGCGAGATGGCTGGCACTGGCCTATATCCATGACAAATCAAAGGCACTGCTTTAAACACTGCAACATTTCAACATGGTACCCTGACTAACCTTTGCTGGCTGGTGGCGAGAGGAGGTCCCGAGAGATGCTTGATAATAGTTGACATCAATGAGTATTTTGGGCGGGTCTCAATCCTTCTTGCTTGGGCTGTAAGCCCTGCCCTCAACTTCAAACTGTAACCCCAAACTTGTTTGGATTGCATCACAGAATGGATGGGCGACCTTCAGCCCAAGGGCCAAAAAACAGTTCACAAGAGCTTTTGAACCAGCCATTCAATTCTAAATAAATGCAACCTCAGACGAAATGTTTTTAAAAGCTAACCCCTAAATGCTTATAATACTTTTCAAAAACCATTCATAGCGGTTATAATTCCAGAAATTTAGTACGGGCCTTAGAATTTTCCATGAAAATCCAAATAGCCTTTTATCAGCAAAAGGACTCATGCCTCTGCCTTTCAGTTATCAATCATCCTCCATTAAGCATTGAGTTCTAATTATAATTAAATCCAATAATTTCAGCCTCAGGTACTGTAGTTTGTATTAGAAAAGTGAATGTTTTCACGGAAAACAAATAAGGTTGCTTCTGTGTTGCATATAAATAATACCTGGACTTTGCAGACTTTAAAATGTATCTTTACCAATTGAAAGGGAAAACCTGTGGTAAAAGTGACATATTGCAAATGAGAAACTGCCACCCAGTTGTATCATAACCACAGTGTCTGCTATGTCAACAGTAACCATGTTGGCAACTCATCTTCATGCACTTGGTTTAAATCAATCGTAGAACAGAGAATCGACCTTCCTCACCCTCCCGAAACAATAATGTCACAGGAGTCATCCCGAAGCGCAATTAAGCCATACGGCGCCTCTTACCTTTGTGACAGTCATGCAGAATCAGTGAGTGAGCTGCAGGCCAGTGTCCCGTTCAGAGATCAATGCTGCAGGAGTGGCAGAGTGATGAGGAGGAGAGGAGGGCAGCTCTGGTTGCTGGATAAGCAGAGAGATGGGGGGAGAGAGGAGAGAGAGAGAGAGAGAGAGAGAGAGAGAGAGAGAGAGAGAGAGAAGAGAAGAGGAGGGGACAGAGAGGTTTGTGCGTCTAGCCCACTAAGTACCGAGAGGCTGATGGCTGCTGCAGTGAAGTCACGGCTGGCGCTCTGAGTGCAGTTGGCTCCTAACAGAGGGAAACGCTTTCCCGCACTCTGCAGGACACACCCCTCTCCTCCTACCTCATTACGTGTACTCAAGGAAACAACACACACTGGGATGATGCACACGGTCTGCCTGACCTGCTTTCTCACTCAGTATCGCAGTACTGTCTGGTTAGAGGTGGGCTAATACAGCTTATTGAGCTCTGCAGGGCGAGTGACTGTGCAAAAACATGACGATTGGCCGGAAGAAGGGGAATGTTGGACACTGTGTGTGTGTGTGTGTGTGTGTGTGTTGCATTTTGCCATTCTGCCCACTGCACACTGCTGTGTGCACCGCATGACTGATTACATGTTATCTGTACAAAAATGAGAATTAATGTCATTTATACCAGCACATGTTTGTGTCCTGAGGTGTCTATGTTCTACACCTATGCGACTTTCACGCTTCAGAGCAGAAAAAAAGCACTTGATCTTTTATTTTTACAAATTCCCAATTTACATTGTTCTCTTAACAGCTGCAAGATGCCATTTGCTATCCAAATTAGGACAATTGGTACAGAAAATGGAATGACAGAAAATATCCAATTCTAACTGACTCCATGAACATACAACTATGATGCTGTTTACCAGCTTTGACTATAAAGATATTTGTGCTTGTGTCGCATTATATTAGGATACACCAACTCAAATGAATGTATAAGTTGTGGCCAATTTAATGCATGGGCCAATTACAATCATTCCAAGCCATTAAAATAAAGATTTTACTGTGATTCAGTGTTGCTATTGTACACCAGGAACCTTGTATAGATTGATAATGTTACCGTTGAGAAAAAAAATTAAACACAGTCTTGGGAAATATCTGCTCATATTAAGTCAAATGCTTCATAATTCATTGGACGGCGGTTCACAGTGCAGATGGCCAATGCCCTGTAGCATACTGCGAAAAGCAATTAGTTTTTTTTTTAAGGAAAACGAGTGGAATATTATGCAAAGGTCAAGTCCAGTCACTGGCCTTAATACAGTTGAGAATACATTTCACTTGCTCAAGACAAAATGGAAAGAAACACTCCCAGAACAAACGGCAATACAGAAAAATATTTATCTACAGAAAAACGAAGGACGCCAAAGTATAAACAGAAAGTGCTGGTGACACAAAACCAGGAAAAGCCAATACGAAAAAAAAAAAATCTTGATAAAACGGCAAGGTAATTTTGAAACCTGAAAATACACGACATGAATGGCAACATTTCAATTACAATAAACTTTAATAAGTGTTTTGGGATTTCTTTTTAGTCTTATTTAACAAGAAAACTATCGAAATGACAGCAACAAGAACCATGAATAAGTAATCTAGAAAATTTCTCATGAACAAACAGGAAGCAAAATCAATCAATGGACATTGACTCAGCAGCTTGTCAGTCCTTAAATCATGGCAAGGCCTGATTAGTAACAAGAAATAGGTGCACCACTGAAGAGTCCCGCTCTCCACTGCAGCTGGTGCTGAAAACAAAAACGGAGCAGCACATGACAAATATGTTACAACACCTTGACTTTTGACACCCTCAAAAAGTGTTTGGGAACTGAGTCCACTCATTGTTGAAGCTTTGTAAGTGAAATTCTTCTCTATTCTTTCTAGATGTACAACTTCAGGTGTGCAACAGCCCGGGTCTCTGTTGTCGTATTTTGAACTTCATAATGCGCAACGGATTTTCAAAGGGAGACAAGTATGGACTACTGGCAGGCCAATGTACTACTCGCACTCTTCTTACTGTCACGATGCGAGGTGGTGGTGGACCCCAAAAAAGCAGGCAAGAGGGAGGAGCAGGGTGTACTTGAAAGACTGTATTAAAACTCAGAAAACTAAATCCAAAACAAACATAGTCCAAAGTAGCAAACAAAAATCATAACTGAAGCTAAAACAGAACCATGACCAAAACAAACCTGACAGCAGCAGAGAAACGGCAACAAACAAACATGACAGTAGCACAGAGCAACAAACAGCAACAATGACCCGACAATGATTGCTCGGGCTGGGAGTCCTTTTAAAGCCACTAATTACCTAATGACCAACAGGTGTGCAGCTGCAGGGGAGCCCTACAGTGCCACCTGTTGGTCCCAAACCGAATCATGACAATTACGAAGCCACACCGTTGTGAAACGCTAAAATACGTAACATGCACCATGCGCAGAATGTGGCTTGGCATTGTCTTGCTGAAATAGATGGGGACAACCTTGAAAAAGGCATTGCAATATACTGTCTGTTTCTCCAAACATAAATGTTGCCTTCACAGATGTGCAAGTTCCCCATATCATCTCAGATGCTGTATTTTGAAACTACACTAATAACAATCCAAATGGTCCTTTATGTATTCATTCCACTAAATATACTCGTAGGTTGAAAAGGATTTGCAAATCATTGTATTCTGTTTTTATTTACTTGTATCACATCCCAACTTCTTTGGAATTGGTGCTTGTAAATACCTTCAAATTGAAGCTGAAAGTCTGCAGTGAATGAACATCTTGTTTGTTTTGTTTCTAACCTATTGCGGTGTTGTCTATCTTACTTTTAAACCTGTTGGTGTGATAATACTGTTTTGTGCTTCACAAAGAAAAGCTGTCATCATTCCATGGCATTGCACACAGGCAGCCTTTGGCCAGTCTCCCAGAGTCACGTTTGTCATACTAATCTGTTTTCATGGAGCGATGATCGAGACAGGCCAAGATTCCAACCGTGTCTCCATGGTTTAACTTTATTCTGCAGTGGGACTTGTTTCTTTGAGTTATAGAATAAACAGCAAGGTCTTTGTTTTTGTTTTTTGTTTTTTTTTTTACTTACTGTAGTTCGATTGTCACACACATGATCATTCTCTCTTTGTTTTGCGGCAACATTCTTAAGCGTTTCCTGTTTAGAACAAGAGTATTTCCTGAGTGAAATGTTATTTGGAAAACAAATGACTTAATTTATTGAAATAGGCCATGCGCTTTATTTCACTGAGGCACACCGGATACCCAGTCCAACACTTCTATCCATTTTCTATGGCTCATCCTCCTTCAGGTGACGGACGAGCTGGAGTCTATAAACATTGACGTTGGGTGGGAAGTGGAGTACATCCTAGACTGGTCGCCGGCAAATTGCAGGGCAAATATTGGCCAACACCCATTCACACTCACATTCATACCTGGACCATTGAGAGTTTTCAATTAACCTAACAGGAAGTGTGACAAACCCACACAAGTTAGGAGAGCTCAGCCAAACTCCACACTCGAAACCTCAGAACTGTAATGCTAACCACTACTTCAGTATGTGTTCTAATTTAAACTACGAGAATGCTTTCACTTGCAGTGTATGATTTGGGGAAAATTCCATTCTCTGCTCAAGTATCGTTCCCAGTTTACACCAATAAAATGAGGTGTGGGAGTAATAGGCGTCATCAACTGGGTGAAGGTGTGGGGGCACAAACAACCATTCTCCCTCACAATCACAATGAAGGACAACTTAGTGTTCCATAAACCTATTGTGCATGTTTTTTGACCGTGAGAGGAAACCGGACTACCCGTAGAAAATGTCCACAGGCACGGTGAAACCACGCAAACTCAACACAGAAAGGCAAAGGCTGGGAATCAAACCCAGAACCTCTACACTCTGAGGTGAATGTGCTGAGCAGTATACACCGTGTCGCCTTCAGTAATCCAGTAACTCTGCTGTATATTACATTACGTTAATCATTTCCTCCACGGTGCAGAGAAGAGGACAAAGAACATCCGGCCTGATCATACTGCAGTTTGATATGCTGTACATATTGGATGTAATGTAAGACTTACATTACATTGTAAGTCATCACTGTATCAGTATAAATCACTGTCAATAATAATTTACTATCTACGTATCTATTTGGGAGTCCTAACTCGGAACGGCTAATATGAGTTTGGGGTTGGTGAACAAAATTAATGTTATAAATTATTAACAAAGTGTAAAGTTCTTATTTTAATGACTACTTATAACTGTTATGTTTCTGTTTAGGTCACGTTTGGTTTTGTTTCCTCATGTGCCTTTTTTGTCGCCACCTGTTCTCCAATGTCCCTTGTGTTTAACTAGTCAGCTTCCTCAACCCTTGGCGTCTTGTCCAGGTGTTTCTCGCTGTCTCGTCACTTTGCTTGTATTTAGTTGCGAGCTGTGATTATGTGAGTGTCTGTGTGCTAAGCTCCTGGCACGTTTTGTCACAGGTTTCTTTTGTTACTTTGGCTCCTTATGATTTCCAGGACTTTGGTGGAGCACTTGTAGTTCGTAATTTTCCAGTGTACTCCTGTTCGTATTTTTGTTAAATACATCTTGGTCAGTTCCACCCTGCTTCTCCTTGCCTCCCTAATTTTTGAGGTCCTCCAACTATTCCACCATCACGCAAAACGTGACAGAATGACCCAACCCACGTCCACGTTAGGCTGAACCCCGTCCACGTCTATGGCACCACCCATTCCCCTTCAGACGTCCCATGTTCCCTGTCACGTCGAGCGCTGTCCACGTCAGGTCGTCCCATGTTTCCGGCGAGGCTCGTGTTGCCGTCTCCCTCCATTCCTGTTCCCGGCGAGGCAAGTGTTGCTGTCGCCCTCCGTTCCTGTCCATCCGTCCTTTGAGGGAGGGACACTGTTATGTGTCTGTTTAGGTCACATTTGGTTTTGTTTCCTCATGTGTCCTTTTTGTCGCCACCCGTTCTCGTCACCAATGTCCCTTATGTTTAACCAATCAGCTCTCTCAACCCTTCGTGTCTTGTCCAGGTGTTTCTCATTGTCTCGTCACTTTGCTTGTATTTAGTTCCCTGAGTTCTATCAGTTTTTGTTGTGAGTTGTATGTGTGTGTCTGTGTGCTCCGCTCCTGGCATGATTTGTCACAGGTTTCTTTTGTTACTTTGGCTCCTTGTGATTTCCAGGTCTTTGTTTGAGCACTTGTAGTTAGTAATTTTCCAGTGTACTCCTGTTTGTATTTTTTGTCAAATACATCTTGGTCATTTTGACCCTGCTCCTCCTTGCCTCCCTGCTTTTTGGGGTCCTCCAACTACTCCACCATCACGCAAAACGTGACAATAACTTTCTTTAAATTGTGTATTTCCTAATTATAACATTATAT